TGAACTAGGATGTTTGTTAGTTTGATTGTTAGAATTTTTGTAAAGATTTTTCTAGTATAATAATTAGTATTATTGGTTATGTGGAGTTAAGTTCATAATTGTAATGTTGTTTTTTTGGAATTGGTCAAATGTTTGCTTGTAACTACTAGTCTGAGATGCATTCTTGTATCAAACATTTGTTGAATATTTCTAATAGTAGTAAGAGAGCTGTTGATGGTAAATGCTAAAAAACCTCATTTATAATTCTTAGTAGTCTTGTTGCTTTTTCTTTAAAGGTTTCTTTTATAGTTTGTTTTAGTTCCAATAAGGAGATCAGAGACAAAAGGTTGTCATATATGTTGCTTTTAATATTGTTAAGAGAATTATATATTAATTCTCATTCCTTCTAAGTAGTATTGTTAGATGGATTTTTTTAAACCAGTTTTTGTAATGTTGGCATATGGCTTCTTTAATTTCATTCTTGTCTATGATTATCTTGTTTGGAAATATGATTTTTTTTAAAATTTACTGGTTCTGCTCTTCTTTTAAGAATACTATCTAGCATATAACTAGTGTCATCTTTAAAGTCTAAATATCTTCAATTTGTGTAGAACTTGATTCTTTTATTTTGTTCTTGTTTTTTTTTAAAGTTTCATGCTTGCCATATTGTATGCTTGTATTGCTTTATTTATATTATAAAATTAGGTAGAGAGAGATTTAATTGTACTTGTGTGATTAATAGAATTTCTATTTCTATAAGAGTAGCTGCTTTTGATAGGTAAAGATTTACTCTAGTTAAGTCATTTAAAGTGTTATTTGAGAGGTAATATAAATATTTGTTAATGTTTTTAAGAGCAAAATGCAGTTTAGTTGCTTTTAGAGAAAGTGCAAGAAGGATTTAGGAGTAATAAGAATATATAAAATATGTTCATTCATTTTTTCTTTAATTTTTGCTGCCCAGAAGTTCTATATTTTGTTTATATTGTTTTGGTCATATTTGATATTGGGATATTTTGCAGGTTAAGATTGATATTTAGTGAATCTTTAAAATTTTTTCAGTTCTCTGATATCATTTTCTCAAACAAATATTTTTTTCTTTTTTTCTTTTTGTTTCTAGAGTTTTTTTGAGATAAAAGTTTATATACCAGGTTGTATTTAGAATGCAATAATCACTGTCTGAAATATAAGAAGCATCAGTTAGAGATAGAGATTTAAATACTAGTAATATATCTGATAAGATCCAGAAATTATCAATTTGACTAACAGAAGTTGGGCCATGCCATATTGGTGTTTAAATATTATGAAATGCTAGTAAACTTGTTAGGTTGGCTGCATTTAGATTTATAAATATTGAAAAGTGTTTATTTCTAAATTGATTAGCATTAAAATCTCCTAGTATATTAGGTGCCAATTACTAGCTCTAGCTTATGTAATCCAGTTATGTAATTAAGATTAGGTTTTTTTTAGAAGAGAAAAATGATTTGAAGGAAGTTAAGTTGAAATAATATGAGATTTGTTATTATTAGAAAAAAAGAAATCAAGACATATAACTGTTTCTTAAAAGATATTAATTTTGTAAATGTATAATTGTAGTTGATTACAAACTATTATAGCAGTTTTCAAGCTGGCTTTTTATTAATTTGGTTTATATAGTACAAAGTTTGAGGTAAAGATTTTATATAAAGGGTTAGTTAATAACTTCATTACTGAGTCTTTTAGCTTAGTTTCAGTGAGAAAGATTATATGTAAGTTTAATTTAGCATAGTATTCAATCCAAGTTTGCATTTTTAGTATATCATTAATATCTCTAATGCTGTAAGTAGTAATGTTAATTTTTTTATTTATATTAAGTTCATAGGAGTTTAACTCATTCATGTTTTCTACAGATTGTAGAGTATTTGTATTAAGATGTATGCTCATAAGTCTTCTGTCATGAGGTCTTTCTCTATTGCAGATGTTTGTGTCTTTGTATCATGTTAGTTGTTTCTTTGTTTTCAAAATGTCAAAAAATGGTTCAGTTAGATCTATGAAATCGAATATATATTCTGATACTGTGTAATAAAAAAAGTTTTGTTGAAAGGTTTCCAAAACCAAGAGAATGTTGTAGTGTTTTTTAATAGGCACATTTATGTTGTCGATATTTTTTTTAGCTAATGTAAGTTGCAGTTTTTTTAATTATAGAAGGTAGTTTATCTGTGGTATTGTTAGGTTTAGGTGTTTTTTTTTAATGTTTATTCAAGATTGAGATATTGTATAAAAATAGTAGTGTTTGTATAATGCTTTAGCTGCAATGTTTAGCTCTTTAGAAGTTGAGATCAGTAAGGTTAAGTTTATTGCTATAACTAGTTTAACATCTTCTGGAAGGTCTAGAAGTTCTGTGTAATTAAAATTACAGTATGTTTTTGGTAATGGTATTTGAATGCTATATGTGAATAGAATCTTTTTAATAAATAGGTCAACTTCTGCAGTTTGTAAAAGAAAGGTAAGGTCTGACATTCTTAGATCTGCAGAATTTTGAAGCAATCATTAATATGAGATAATGTAGTTATTTGGTAGTCTTATAAATAAGTAAACTATTTACAAAAGTCTAATATGTTCTTTGAAGTCTTTTTGATTATTAGGTAAGAAAAAAAATTTTTCTTATAGTCTAAGAGTTAAGTCTTGTGAAGTAGAAGGTAGTGGGCTCTTTAGTACTAGTAGCTCAAAATAGCTAGAGGGGATTTATTGAAAAATATAAAACTTCGGCAAGTTTCTCTATATCAAGTTAGGTTTTGCAAATCTGCTTTACTTATAATAGGAAATATGTTGCATACTTTATCATTTAGAAGTTCATATAAGTCTAGTAAGAGTTCATAATTATCTGAAATGTATGTTTCAGATATTTTGTCAAATAAGAACATTAAATGTAAGGTCTTGATTACAGGTACAATAATTTAATAATTTGAGATAGGTAGGCTAAAAGGAATAATTTTCATTAGATAACTAGGAATTGAAATAGGTTTTATAAGTAATAGTATTAATGTCTTATTGATAAGACTTGTGATCATTTTTCTGATTGTTTCAAAATTTAGTTGCTGTGAGATTTTTGTAAATCCTGTTAAGTAGAAGATATATTTCATCATCTCCTATGCATCTATTAAGTTGAAGTTTAGATTAATCAAATAATCTGTTACTAGTTAATTCATAGTAGTTCAAATATTTGGTTTCAATTTTTTTTGTTTGTTGTTAGTACATTATATTGTTTTTATAGATATTTAAAGCCTCTATAAACAAATTATTAAATTCTGTTTGATGCTATGCTTTGATTGCAATAATTTGTATAAAGTTTCTAAAAAATGCTGTATCTCTATAGAACAATTTTGTTGCAATTGTTTTTGGAATATAATTTGTAGTTAGTTTTATAATAAGTTTATATCTAATTAATTCTTTAATATCATTATGAGAGATTAGTACATCTTTGATTTTTGATCGAGTTCAGGTTATTATATCAAAAGACTCTAGTCTATCTTGTCTAATTTCTTTTAAAACTGACTGTACATGCTTATGTCATTCTTTTTCTTTATTATTGTTAAAATTATTTAAAGCTTTTTTGTTTCTTTCTAGGAGGCTGTTGGTAACTATCTGGCTTTATAATATCTTTTTTTATGTTTGTTTCTCTAATATTGTATCTGTTGAATATGTTTCTTCTTTTTCATTATCTATATTTGTTGTGTCTTGGTCTACTTCTATATCTGGTATTTATTTGTTTGTATCATCATCTGTACATGTACTAGATCTAGAAACTAATTCTGATTGATTTAGTTTATTTATATTCACATTTTATTCTTGTGTGAAAAGAATCAAGTTAGTTGTAATAGAGACTTGGATTAGGCTCTAACTATTTTGTAAATTTGTAAAAATATTTTTTTATATTGGTTAATGTATATTCAGAATTGAACTTGTTGTTTTCATCTCTATTGATGATGTCATGTCTTGAAAATTTAGGATTAAGCTAGAATTTTCATTTTTCTTGAAATTTTCTTCTATTATGTTTTTTTCTAATATTCATTTGAATTAGAATAATAGTATTGTAGTTAATTTTTCATTTTTTTTTCTTTACTTTATTTACCTATTGTTTCTCTGTTATTAGTATATATATAAGTGGGTCATGTTTTTTTTATTTAGGTTTCAGTCCTATGTGTTTTATTAATATTCTTTTTATTGCTATCAATGTTTATTTTGATTGCTGACATAGTTAGCAACAAGATTGTAAAGAGGACAGAAGTGCAGAAGGCAGTTTCCCTGCTTTATTTAATCTTTAATGATTTTGTTTATTATTATAATTGCAAGTTATTTTAATTATTTAGTTATAATATTCTAAATGTGCCTAGTTGCAATTTGATATTTGTTTTCTATATATAAAAATGATTTATGGGAAAGAGTTTAATTGAATCCAATAGGCATAGTAAAGATAAATAGGGTTGATTATATTTTATTATATATATAAATTTTTAAGCTAACATAATTACATTTTTTCTTTTGTAAATCATATCATTTTTGATAAGTTGCAAATCTTTTTTGCATAGGACCCATATTGATATATAATCTAAAGAAAATATGCACTGAGCACATTATGAACATTTATTTTTTATACTGAACAAGATTATTTTGAATTGTAGAATTATAAATAGAAATACGGTTTAGTCACTTAAGAAAGTTTTTTTAAAACACATCTAATGTCCAATAGGATTAATCACAATGATGCAGTGTTATATTTCTTTAATATTGAACATTTTTAATTTGTTTTTTATTTCTTATTTTATATGTATATATTTTTTGCTAGTAAACAACAAACACATATCAATTTCGTTTATAAAATTGGTTAACGTTATTTTAATAAATTTCAATGAGTATTATGCTTAATTTAATTGACAATTTTATGATAGCAATTTATATTTTTATTACATGTACATTTCAAAGAAGAAGGAATATGAAAATAACAAAATATAACGCATAAAATATAGTATGCAGATGTTTAGTTACTAATGTGCAATAATTCCAATACTACATATTTGCCGAGAAAAACTTCCATGAATTCCAATAGACGGTATGTTATCTCCCGCATGAACGTAATATGCATTTCCCTGTTCACCACCACGCATATCAGAAACTCGACCTTGATTAGTTTGAAATTGGATTGCATACAACACAGATCCAATTCGTATAACGATATTCTTAATTTTTTCATCCTTATGCCAATCAAAGTCATAAGGATCACCATCACCTGGTGTACCATATATGGCAGAAGTGTCATCAGAATAAAAGAATGCAATAGCATTAACTATGTCAGATGACCAAATTCTTATTTTCTTAAGATGCGCCTTATTAGGTTTTTCAATCAATGCATGAAATTCAGTACAATCACGGTTTCGTGAATTAATTATATCATCAAAATAATAAGAATCCATTGGTTTATGTCCAATTTGTTTCTCTGCAGAAGAAAATTTTTCATGTTGTTTTTCAAGATCAGTGACAGCTTTTCTCAAATATTTTATACTTTCAGTTGTAATTTTTGCAAAACTCCGAACATGACGAACTTCTTTACTAACATCTTGTATCTTACGATGGTATTCGTTTAAAAAGGTTTCAAAGTTGATAAGACTTGGGGCTATCTCTCGCAGCAATTTTATAATACATTGAACATGTACAAGCTCTGATTCTGCTCTCCTACGTAAATTATAATCGATGACTTCTCCTAACCAGTGTTTTTTTAAGACTTGTTCTGCCTCACGTTCACCATCGATAAGATATTCATGTGCACTGTTTGCACCATGTTGGAATTTAGAAATTGAGCCAATAACTTGCTTGAGCTGGTTTTGAAGCCCAGGTATCTGTTTTTCTATCACTTTGAGACGCTCACGAATAAAATTTAAAAGATTAGTTGAAACCAATTGACTATTTAATCCAATAAATAGGTTGAACAAGTGTCCTTCAAACTGTTTAACCCTTTCAATTTCTTCGGTAATTGAGTTTACTTCATCTGCAAGGGACCACAAGAAATTCTTTGCTTGATGACGAAATTCTTCAATCTCTTTACCTGCTGCTTGTATTTCCTTATCCAATTCGAAAAGTACTTCGGAAATTAATTTTCCATTTTGAACAATAATGTCACTCTTTTTAATTATCACACCGAGATCACGAACATTGATACGATATTTATTAATTTCATTTGTCTCTGAATAAAATTTAAAAGAGTTAATTAGTTCATTAGGATTAAATTAATCTGAAAAAACATTATGCAATTACTATACCTGGAATTTCGAGTGACGATAATTTTTTTGAACCAGTATCGAATATATTTACAATATTTTCCATGTTGAGACCTTCATTTGATTGTGGAATATTTTGTTTAAATTGAATCTAAATATTATGTAAACTTTAATTTAGATAATTGAATGTATAAAATTATTTATTTAGATTAGGTAGTTTCTTAAGCTATGAATTGAAATAAACATTTTACTTTGACAAAATAAGTCAAAATGGCAAATAACAATAAAACCACTGCCAATCTGTTTAGTAGTTTCTTTCCATCTTGATTTGTTGAATTTGTTCCAGATACAGGGATGTCACTAACAGATGGTCGACGACGCTGTCGTATGGTTGAAGAGGCTAAGATATTTGGTTCCGAAAATAATAACTAATTAGAAGGACTGAAAAAATTAGATAAAGTGAAAAAACAATAATACCTTCGCTAGAAAGGGAACTTTCAGGATTCTTATTTATTTTCATGATAATGTTAGACATTCAAAAAAAAACAAACAGATAAAAGGCAAACAGTTACAGTGTATCTGCGTGATTGTTTCCATATAAAAATGTCCTTTCCACTGACGTGATTGTTTCCATAACAGGAATGCCCATTTTCTTTTCACATGATCATAAATAACTCATTACGTATCAATTCTGATCAACATCTTAAGCATGAATTCTTTTTGCAGAGAAAAGTTTATGTTGAGAACTTCATATTGGGAATCAAACGTTACCGTTTCTGGCACTCAATTAACACAACCAACACAGCCTACGCAACAAACAATCTATAGTAAAGCCTATAACAAGGATGCTACTAGAATTCCACCATTGTTATTAGCCAGCATTTTGATTGTTATCGTTGCTATTATTTTCAAATTTGTGTTTCATTACGAAGTATGTTGAATATATTGGACGTGTTTTGAGCAAGTATTTTAGATAATATTACTGTACTAATTAATTTATAATAATGAAAACTAGCCAATATTTGAATTGTTTTTTCCAGTAAGACTTATCTTGTTATTGTTAAAACTCGAAACCACGCAACTTAACATACGACTTATATTCGTTATTATATACAGCCTTTTGATTGGCCTATATTTAGAGACCTTACAAACACCACCGGTTTAATTTCTGGACAACTCGCTGAACTTAATATCCCAGGTACTTTTATTTTTAATTGTTCTTGAACAAATACTTGTCAGAATGTAGCTATGATAATTATTTCATCAAATTAGCATCTTCCGTGATCATAAACTATCGAGTCACAAGCCAATATCTTGCTGATGTTATAGACCGAAATGATTTGTCACCTAATAATTCTGATGAAATTGCTCAATACCTTAATCAACTTGGAGATAAGATAGGCAACTCAGGCAAAACTATTGAAAAAATGTATCCTGTTGGTAATATGGTTCTTAGGGAGATTGTCATGGAACTAAAATTTATCATCGACAATATTAGATCAGGCCAAATTCTTTCACAGCAGAATGTAACATACCTGGCAGATCGTTATGGAAAGATTTTAAGTACTGTCACTAAATTACGAGATAAGTTTCAAAAAATTACAGATGAGCTTGATGATCTTTATATTTTATATAATGGAACACATCATCAACTTGCGAATGGAATAGATGATGTAGAACTTTTTTTTGAAGAGATAACTCCAGAGTTGGGAGAGTATTATGATATGGAACAACTGAAACGAGATCTCGGTTATTTAAAACAGATAATGGAAAAGGTTCCTGATATTCGGCGTCAAATTCACCGTCTTCTATCTGAGTTTAATAATCACCGACAGATATTGATTCGGTGTCATGGTGAATGGTCTAGTTTGCGGAGACGAAAATTAGTTTCTTCTGAAGATACTGAAAGTTTAGAAGAAGTGATTACAAAGTTAAATCGTATGGCTGAAACCTTTATGGAGAAAGATCAAGAGAATTATGAAATAAGAATATATGTATAATTAGTTCACACACAATGTTCCTGTAAGTTTACTAGCATTTTGCTTTAGTGTTGCTTCTTTGATTGATATATTTTTATTATAATGTGATCTAATTTTGGGTATTTAACCAATGAAAAAAGGCGGAAGTATGCAGTGGACATAGTGGTTTTTTTTCAGATTTTTGATACCTTTCATAAAAATTTTGTGTAAAATACATAAATGCAAATTATAAACATTTTAGTTAAGTATTATAATTGAATATTTGTATTTTGAAATTTTTTATTAACATTCAAATTATTAAATACTACAATGCAAAGTTTTATATTAAAACTATTCTTATCAATAAAAATAAGTCTGGTTCTATTCTAAGTTTAGTATTTAAGTTTCAAAATTAACATAATTAGAACTAATTGATTTTTCTTTGTAACACTTGGTGTTTTCTATTTTTTCTACAATCAAAATTTAGATTTTACTTCTAGAAGCTACTTTATTTTACTCTTAGTATAAAAATGTAATACTTGAAGATAATTGTAAAAATAACATTCATCTAAATAAATATATTAAAAAATTAAAGCTTGCCATATTATTTTCTTGAATATTAAGATCACTACTTTATTAATTCTTGAATGAGAGCCATTAAGTGAATTTAACTTTGTTTTTTTGAATTCAAATTTCTAATAACTATATAGTTAAAGCTATCAAAATGCACTGGCAAAAAACCTGACTCTAATACAAAATGCTAAATAAAAAATCTACAAAAGATCCAGATATATAATATTATTGCATATCTTTGTTACAAAAGAAACCTTTCAAGTATGTATTGTATTCTATTTTCTAAAGTATTGCAATCTTCAATAAATTGCTATAAAATACTTAGGTATAATACTATAAAAATGTAAAGTACTCTAATCAGATTTAAAATAACCAAACTTGTAAAAGATTCAAGGCACTTTAAAGAACAGAATATGGTACATATTTTATATTAATTAATAAATTAAAAATATATAATTAAAATCTATATAAAGATACTATTTGCATAAAGATATTAAAAAGAAGATATTTTATTATACAAGTAAAGATTTGTATAAACTAAAAATAGTAATATTTGATTTTTTTCTATAGTTTTTGCTTAAATGAGTTTTTGATTAGTGGATAATAAATCAGAAGCATGATGTTATACAAATACAAAAAAGTATTAAGATGATTATCATATATGCAATAAATTTTTTGAGGATGATCTGTATATGTTGTTGTTCTTAAACATCTCTCTTTATAATTTATAAAGAAGTTAATTTGATAAAAAAAAATATAAAAAAACTAAGATTTTACAACTATTATTTTTTTATATATTTAAAACTTATAATAAATTTTTAGTAAAATTGTATCAGAATTACTTCAATTAAGTTTAATTAATAAAATAATTAAGTAATATTTTGATTATTATAAATTATCTACAATAAAAAACTGCTTAAAATTAATCTAATTGAGATCATATCTTTTTAGAAAATTATATAATAACTGTCTAAAAAATTTTGATACAAGCTAATGATATTATTTTTGTAAAAAATTACCAACTTAGTTATAAAGTAAAATTAAATTATAACCTATAATATGAATAAATCTATATTTTAATATTAGGGAGCTGACATTTAAGAGCTCAATATAACCCCTTCTGGAAATTGTTAATTGACTACTTCCAATACCTCTAGAGTTAGTTATTTGATATTATTCTGTATTCCCTAGAGTTAGTTATTTAATATATATAAAACTATCAATTGACTACTATAGTATTATAGAGTCAGTCATTTTGAAAACATCTTAATTACATCTATTTAATATTTATAACCACCCCAAGTGGTGCAGCACATAACAATTTTAATGGTTACATGATTTTAAAGTCACATAACTGCTTCAAGTGGCACAGTATATAATGATTGTAATAGATATGTGGTTTCAAAGTCACATAACCACCCAAGTGGCACAGCATATAACAGCTACTGTAGTAAATGCACAAATTAGATAATTTATGTTAATAAATATATGCAATATTTTTAAAGTAATAAAATCTTTATGCTAGAATTAAGATAGAACTATAATAGAACATTTTCTATACTAAAATTTTGCAAGAAATTTTTTTTGTTAGTGCACAATAAGTAGTTTTATAGACAAAATTTTGAGTTATCTGCATTTTTTTAAAAACTTTGTGATTTCACATAATACTCATTCTAAAGATTGATTATAGAAGAGATAGAAGAGATCTGATTGATGTATCTTTCATGTACAGTAAAAGTACTTCATGACCAAATGATTATTTCTTTCTTTAACTGATCAGTTTCCAGATCTTAAAAATGGATGAAAATTTTATATAGAGTTAAGTTCTTAGTTACAACCTTCCAAACTTATAGACAAAAACTCATTTGATCAAAGTTGCAAGTCACTCTATAACCAAAAAGTTTATTACTAAAGCTTACAAATTTTTATTTGTAGATTTTGCTCTTATAATAATGCAGAATCTGTATAAATTTGACTAGTAATAAATCTACTAATTATAATAAAAGACAATAGCCACAAATTTATAAGTTATATATTTTAATAATAAAACTCTTTCTGCAAATCCATTGCACAAAAATTAACTAAAAATTTATTCATAAAAAATGCTTATAACTATTTATTTATTAAGACAACCTGTCTTAGACTTCTAAGTAAGCTTGTTCAGCTTACTATTTTACGTCTAGCCTGCAAATATCAAGCTTTTAGACCTCAAACTCATCGAGAAAACTGTACTGATGGCCTTTGGCCTCCAGTTAACAACTTTTAATCATCTTGCAGTTTCTACTGCTTTAACCTGCTTTATACTCTTAAGTA